TGGCGAGGCTACCGCCTCCTGCTGTTCTTTCAAGTTCCCTTGCTCTCCTCTTGGTCTTTTCTCCCCAGGCTTCTCCCTTCTCTTTTTCCCTCTTATTCTCACGCCTCCCTCTCTAGTTTCTCTCTCTCTCCCGCTGTCCTCTTCCTCTCAGCAGCCTCCACTGCCGACCTCCCAGAAGCCTTTGTGACTCTGTGCCTCAGTTTGCCCATTGACAGAAAGGGGAGGGCACCCCCAGCCTCAGGCCTCTGGTGCATTTTGGGGTGGAGGTGGGGGGGGGGCCCGTAGCCCAGACATCAGAGTAAAGAAGCAAGAAGAAGGAAGAGCTGAAAATAGCACCTTTATGTAGGAGCCCTCCCATTGTAATGAGAGGGTGGGGGCAGAGGAGCCCCGGGACTGGGCTGTAGAGAGGGGAGGGGAGAGAAGGGAGAGAAAGAGGGAAGGGGAGGGCCTCATTTTGCTGAGGTGGCACCCGGGCCACGCACGGCCTTACGGGCCTCCCTGTCCAGGATCACGAGTCTGCATCTGGCAGAGGCAAGCACAGGTGATTGCCCCTTATGATTTCATTTTCTCCCCACAGTTCCCTCAAACCAGACCCTGGGGTATCTGAGCCCTGACTGGGCAAACTCAGATGAAAAGGAGTTCTCTTTGAAAGGAAGGGGATTTTCTCAACCGCCACAGATTTGAGGAGGAAGGAGATGGGGGAGCAAGGGCAGCAGGTCTTGAGGGCATCCTGGCTCTCATGGGAAGGAGTCTGGATAACAGACCTTGAATAGGCTTCAGCTTCCTGCTCCGTCCTTGCTGTGTGACCTTGGGCAGGTGGCCTCCCCTCTCTGAGCCTCAGTCACCTCAGCCATAGAATTGATGAAGGGTCCCACCCGGCAGGATTAATTGAGCCGCCAGGTTTAAACCCTTAGCTAGTCTCTGGCCTCAGTGGGTGCGGGAGGAGGGCAGCCCAAGCAGCTGGGGCTGAGGGGAGTGGGGAGGAGGCCAGGACGCACGGGCTCCTTCGTGAGCTCCGACCTTGATCCTCCTCTTGAAGCCTGTTCCAGAAGCGTTTCTGCTGACGCATCCCCCGGGTTCTTAGCCTGCTGTCTGCAGCTATTTCAGATGCACAAGGAACATGGCTCGGGGACTCGTGGCTCCTGAGCGTCTGGATTCAGCAGATGGAGTCTGGCAGGGCTGGGCTCCAGCCCGTCTGCCGTTTGCTCCACTTCAGGCCTTCCTCCCAGGGCCGGATGTCTGTCCCTGATCCACCCTCACCCTCCCACCTCTCCATCCCTGCCTTCCATCTTGGCTCCAGGATGCCACTAACAGCAGGAAATGACTGAGGCCAGGGGCCAGCAATGGCTGCGTTCTCTCTTGTTTCAGAGAGGGTCCTCCTGGGGCCCTTTGGTTCCTATAGTATCAGGACCCTATTCAATTCTGGGGTCAGGGTAAGCTTGCACGGGCTTTGGGGTCACCCTGACATGGGTTAGAAAACTGATCTGCTGTAGAATGGCCCTGTGGCCTTGGACAAGTCACTGCCTTCTCTGAGCTTAAGTGTAAAAGATGTGAGCGGGGACAGTCGGAGTGCCTGCCTTACAGGGTCGTTGGGAGAATCAATGAGATCATGTAAAGAAAACGTCCAGCAGGGGTCTGGCATGCAGTAGGCCCTCCAGAGTTTGGAGTTCTCCGATGTCCTTCTAAGAGAAAGTCACGCCCTCCCTGTAGCGCTCGGCAAAACATGCTTGTGTTGCCAGGATCAGGACCCTTCCTTGCTCCCTCCCATGGGCCCTACTACAACACCAGCCCCATCAGTGATCCCAAACAAGAGTTTGTGGGCAGCTCCTTCATGCCTGGCCCTCTGCTGGGTGTTGGGGACACAGTGGCCTGCTCACCTTTTGCCCCCATGAGCTTTCCTCATAAGTCAAGGCTGCCTGATAAATGCTTGTTGATCAACTAAATGAATATTCAAAGCTCCTGATGTGCCAGAACAGGACAGAATCCCATGTCTTCTGTCCAACCGTGGACTGTCATCTAAGCCCCCAGGGTGCCTACAAGGTGAATTTGGGGGGCAGGTGGCAGTGGCTAGCTACATTTGAGGTGATGGAGGCCCCTCTTGTCTTTGGTGTAGGCACCTTCCAGGTCCATGAGCCCCTTGGGGCCTCCTGCCGAGGCCAAGGCAGTAACTGCCGAGTCTCGGGAAGTCACTGCACGTAACCTGCCTCGCCATTCACCTTCATCCTCGATGGTCTGTGTTGCCCAGCTGGACAGTTTCCTGGGAGCACTGGACTCATTACGCTTTTGGAGGAGGGGATATATGAAAGGATTACTGTTTCTTTCCATCGGAGTGCTCACGTGGGCCAGGGCACGTTGTGTAGCCATTTGGTTCCTAGGGCAGATTTGCAAGACTCCAGGCTTCTGATAACCTCCCCTCTTATATTGTGCCAGGCTCTGTTCTGAGCATCTTTCAGGTGTTAATGCATCAACTCCATGAGGGAGGAACTGCTATTTACCCATGTTAAAGATGAGGAAACTGAGGCACAGAGCAGTTCAGTGGTTTGCCCAGTGTCACTCACCTGTGAGTAGCAGAGCTGGGTGCGATCTCCGAAAAGCCAGAACCACTAATCAGTGTGTGAAAGAGTACCCTCCCCTCCTCAAGGATCCCCCCATCCTTGCATCACCGAAGCTGTCGGGGCGTCTTCCCGTGAGGTGGTGCACGGGAGACAGTGTTGGAGAGAGCGGGAGAGGTCAGGAAGCTGAGGTTTTCACGTAAGCCTCAGCTTTGTTGATAAAACAAGGCACTTGTCGAGGCCTGACGTTGCCCCAGAGGCATCAGAGGACCAGATGAGGAGCCCTGGGTGAGAAAGGCTCAGGGCCGGGTGGGCGGGGCATCTTGTGGATTCCCATGGCTGACCACGTGCCCTGTGCCCACCCAGAATGCTCAAGGCTTCAGGAGGCTCATTTGAGATGGGGGTCAGTGTGGAGTGACTTGGTAGCCTCTGCCCTAGGGGTATGGGGTCAGGGGGCTCCTCCCATCCACCTGCTGCCTTCACCCTCATTCAAGCCACCATTACCGCTCTCTGTGACCTACCGTAGCCACCTTGCTCAGTTCTTTGCCTGCTCGGGCCTCCTCCCTGTGACTGCCAGGGTCACTGATTAATTCATTCACCCATTGATTCATTCGCGGATTAATTAATTTGCTTAGTAAATATTTACCAAGCAGCCACAGAATAGGGACTAGGTAGTCACAAGTCCTGCCTTTGAGGAGTTATCCTAGTGGGGAGACAAACAATAAGCAAATCAATAGTATCCGATCAGGTGGTGATAAATCTTATACAGAAAAACGAAGCAGGGTCAAGGGTTAGACAGAGGTGGTAATGCGGGCGTTGGAGAGGGGTGCTGTTTGAAAACAGGGCTGGTCAGGGAAGGCCTCACCAAGGTCAGAACTAAATAAAGTGAGAGGGTGAGCCAGGAGTGTAGTGCAGGCAGAGCAGTGAGTGCAAAGGCCCTGAGGCAGGAACCATCCCATCCTGTTGGAAGAGTAGCAAGAAAGGGCCCAGTCACCAGGCACAGTGAAGGCAGAGTTTGGAATTTCCTCTGCGTAAAATGGAAAGACCCTGGAGGGATTATGAGCTGGGGAGAGACACTGTCTGATTTACCTTTCAGGATTACATCCTGGCTGCTGGGTGAAGAATAGTGATCAGTGCAAAGGAGGAAAATAAAGCAGGGCAGGGGTGGGGGTTGTGACTTTAGGTGGGGTTGTCAGCGTGGACCTTTTTGAGGAGGTGATATTTGAGTAAGGTCTTGAAGGAGGTGAGCAAACAGATCACGCCTTGTGGGTAGTCCTGGGGAAGCATGTTCCAGACAGAAGGAACAGCCAGTGTAAAATGTAAAGGCCCTGACATGCCTGCATGGCTCTAGCGTGGCTGGAGAGGAAGTGAGCAAAGGGGGATCTTCTTAGGAGGCAAACCTGACCACATCTCCATGGTGACCCACTGCCCTCAGGCTTAGGTCTAAGCAGCTCTTCACTCATGTGGAACCACGCGAAGATTCTCAAGCATCCTCTATCCTTCCTGCTTAATGCACACCCCTCCCTCTGAAACACCCATCATTCCTTCCTTTGCCCAGCTTTAAGCCGTGCTCGCTCCTTCAGGAAGCCTTCCCAGATGACCCCTGCTCACCCTGTGCAATCTCCTCCTTGCTTATTTGTGTCCACCCCACTCTCTCTAAGCTATTGAAGGCAGGGGCGGTGTCTCACCTCCTCTGTGTCCCCAGGCCCTCGGTCTGGAGCACTGAGACTGCTCAGTATCGGTGGCTGAACTTGAGAGTTGAGCCCGGTGATGGTCGTGGAGGCTCCTTGCCATCCTGGGCCCGGTGAGGTGGAGAGAATTCTCGTAGCTCTGCTGAGCCCTTCAGGAGCCCAGCTTAGAGAGGAGCACTGCTGGGCGTCCCGGGGTAGCTGGGGATGGCAGCTCAGCTGAGGGAGCGTTAGGCTTCCGGTGAGGCAGGAAAGGAAGAAATGAGCATCTTTGCAAAATAAGCTCCATTGAAACTGTAACCGTCTCGCCCCTCCCCCACAGCACAAAACCATTAAAAGAGAGAGAGACTTTCCCCATCCGCCTCTCATCTGCATCTTGCCACTTTCACACCTCCCTGGGATCCTGACCGGAGCAGTGGAGAGAGAACCCTTGGGTTTTGGAGGCGTTTAGACTGTTGAGCACGGGCTGAGCTACAAGGAAATCCCAGTCAAGGCCAGAGCCATGCCACAGCATCCGCAGGTAGTTCAGGAGAGGCCTGGAAAGTCTCCAAGAAATCGACGTCCTTGAAATTGATTTCCAAATGAAATCGACATTAATTTTAATGTGTAAAGTAAATTCCCACGGAGTGGGGCAGGTCAGGAGGAACTTAAACCACAGCACAAAGGTGTCTCAGGGCACGTACGTTTGGTGTCCTAGAGAGCAAAGTGGTTTTTCCCTCTCAGTTTGTATTTGTTCACATGGCTTTCTTCTCTGTTCTAGAACACTCTGGACCTGGAGGAGACTGGGGAGACCGTCCAGGGCAATATGAACACCCTCTCAGACGTTTCCCTGGTAAGACCCTCTCTGGCCCTTTCATTGTGTTTTGCCCTCCCGGGTCTGCCTGAGACCCTGGGGGCTGGCTCCCTGGTGAGAGCCACAGGGGGGAGACAAAGGCCCTCAGCTGTGAGCTCTCAGCTAGTTCTGGGGATTTTAGGCAGGGCTGTCAGGCTGTTCGACTATTTGCCGAGTTGGTGTTACTTTTGATGTGTTATCTGAATGTTGTCATAGCAAGTACTGAAGCATGAAGTGTGTGGCGAGAGCTCCTCAAGGAGGCCCTCTGATTGCACTGGAAAAGGGAGTTAAACGTGACCTCATGCCCACACGTGCGCATCAGCAGTCTGGGTAGCGTTGCCTTGTGATCTGACCCACATAACTCTTGAATGTCCTGGGCTTTGGAGCCAGACTGCCTGGGTTCAAATCCCACCCTCTGCCACTGACTGTGTGACTTTGGGCAAGTTTCTTAACTTCTCTGTGCCTCGGTTTTCCCATCTGTAAAAATGGGGGTAATAATAGTGTACTACCCCATAAGTTTGTGGCAAGGAGTAAATTAATTAAACTAAGTAAAGAATTTGGAACAGTTCCCACAAGGCTATCAGAGCTGTGCCAGTTTGGGATGCTGGCCTAGGGAGGGGGGCATAGTGATGACAGGATCTGACCCTCACCAAGCACCTGCCGGGTCACAGGCCCCTTGCTAATGCATTACACACTCTGCTCCTCACCCCCGCCACGACTCTCCTGGGTAGGTGCAGTTTTCCCCGTTGCCCAGAGGTGCACTCAGAGAGGTGCTGTGTCTTGCCCAGGGCCACACAGAACCCCAGCCCATGTCTGTCCACCTTCTACCCACTCTCTCCCATCAGTCCTGTCACACCTCCTGTCTCCAGAAGCTATGATAATCCCTTAAAAAGAAAAGCCAAAGAAAGGCCTTTTTTGTTTTCCATCTCTGCATCCTGCGTCTAATTAAGTCCCGTGCCCTGTGACAAGCCCTGGCTAATGCCAAGAACTTCAGTTCCCAAAGGTAATGATGCCATCCCCAGAGACTCCCGCCAAGATCCTGATGCTTATCAGCTGCTGAGAAGCAGGGAGAAGTTTTCCACTCGGGTGTTGCATTATTCAGAGCAGCGTGGCCAAGAGTTGATAGAGCAGGGACGGAATTGCAGCCAGGGCCTGGTGCACTGGGGCGCTCAGGTCTCCCCGCTAACAGGCGCGATGGGCTCTGACTCCTACTCCTGTTGGGTCTTTTGGCAGGATGATGTCAAGTCCACCTCCAAGGGACTGCCTAGCTACAAGCCACCACCTCCCCCATCACCTTTGCCCCAAGGCCACGACCACCTGACCACCCAGACGAGGAAGCCGGGCAGAGAGGACCTCCAGCCGCCTTCCTCCGTGTCTTCCCACGCCGGCATCGTCTTCTCTGCTCCGCGGAACCGCAGCCCGCCGGCGGGCACCTCCCCCACCCCAGAGGCCTCCTCAGCACAGGACTCGCCCTCCTCCCCCATCTACGCCTCCATCTCCCTGGCCAACCCTGGCTCCAAGAGGCCGCTGGACGCCCACCTGGCCCTGGTCAACCAGCACCCCATTGGCCCCTTCCCGCGGGTCCAGTCACCCCCGCACCTGAAAAGCCCCCCTGCAGAGGCCACGCTGGCGGGGGGCAGCCTTCCACAACCCTCCCCCTCCGGCCACCCAGACCAGACGGGCACGAACCAGCACTTTGTCATGGTGGAGGTGCACCGCCCAGACAGCGAGCCCGACGTGAATGAAGTGAGGGCGCTGCCCCAGACACGCAGTGAGTACCGCAGACCCTGGCGGGCTGGGCTCAGGGTGCTGCTGTGTCATCTTAGAGGCTCCCTGTCCCCCTTACGTTGACCTGCCCATCAACACAGCCAAGGTGGGACCAGATGCTCACCCAGTGAGGGGCCTTCGAGCCCAGGCCTGCCCCCTCAGGGTCAGGGGGCCCAGGGAACAGGGTCCCGAGCCCAAGCCCGCACTGAGGGGCTTTGGAGGCAGAGGTGGGAATGTGAGTCCCCGCTCTGCCATTACTGGCTGTGTGACTGTGGACAGGCTGCCATGCTTTCCCATCGGGGACTGGAGATAACAGTGACAGTCCTGCCAGGTGGCTGTGAGGGTCGGGCTCCTCCTCCAGGGACCCCAGACCTGGTCATCCTGCACTCACCTACAAGTCTCCCCAAGAAGACTGGGCCTGTTCAGGGCAGGGGTGGCTTCTGTGATCTCTGTCCCCCAGTGCCAGGCACAGAGCAGGTGCTGGGGGACAGGTGGGCATTGAAATTGCAGTCTCTGGGCCCCTGGGGGTCTCCTGACCTGGGGCTGCAGGGTCAGAGTGCGGGCTCGACCTTCCAGACACCTGGGAGGCCAGCCCGAGGCCACATGCCCTAAGCTTCCAGAGGTTGTCCAGCTGGGGAGGTGGCAGGAATGGCAGAGCTGGCTTTCCACTCTGTAAGGCTGAGCCCTCCGCAGGCCCTGCACCCCCTCCCTCCTATTAGTGAGTTGGGTACGTTTTGTTGGATTCTGCTGCCATCTTGTGGCGAAGGTGATGCGCGGGGCAGCCTTGGCCAGGGAAGGTGGCCAGCCAGGTCAGGGGACGTTTACTGAGCACCTGCCGTGTGCAAGCAGCGGGCAGACTAGGATGCAGAATGCGGGGTCCCTGCATTCAGTAGCTCACTGACGGAAGGCAGCTAAGGGAAGAGCAGGCAGGATGCGGTGAGAGAAACCTGAGCTATCATAGATGGATCACTCTAGACCTGGCACTGAGCCGGACACACATGATAATAAAGCTAACAGGTGTACAGCACTCTCTGTGTGCCAGGAACACTGTTCTAGGGACCCTGCCGATATTAGTAACTCATCTAATCCTCCCAACAGCTCTGTGAGGCTGGACTGTTATTATCCCCATTTTACAGATGAAGAAACTGAGACACGGAATGTAATTGTGGAGCCAGGCAATCTAGCATAAGCCTGTTCTCTTGGCTGCTTCACCCAACACATCGTGTCTCTTAGACTTTATGATAACTCCATGGGATGGGCATCGCTGCTCCTGGGTTAGAACACGAACGTGGAGGCTCAGAGAGGCTGTGTAACTCGCCCAGGATTGCACAGCTGGTCAGAGAGGATTCAAACCCCACCTGCCAGACTCCAGAGTGTCTCAGTCTCAGGGGCCAAGCCGTTACACACATAGTGAAGCGGCTTCGGTTTGACTGTTAAACCAGAGGGCGTGTGCCCATCACTCAGCTCAGGCCAGGTGGGGCCAGCAGGGGCACAGACCAAGCATGGCAGACCTTCGTTTTTTTTTTCCCCGAGAAGCTTGGAATTTAATTTTTGTGTGAAATCTCCTAATTCGAATGTGTTGGCCCTTCATTAAAAATTGACAACACTGTGAGAGTTAAGAGAAACAAAACAAAATAAAGCAAAACAAAGCCCGTATCTGTGGGCTGGGTTTGCCTCCTAAGCTCTGTTTTAATCATTATGCCAGGGGCAGTCAAAGCGGACGTCCTGGAAGTGGTGGCCTTGGGGCCAGGCCCAGTTGGAAGGGCAGGTCTCAGTAGGTGGGAGGGTGGCAGGGAGTCTCTGCCCAGAGAATCCCCAGCCTTCCAGCCTGCCGCTCAGCTTCTCCAGGAAGCCCTCACTAGCCCCAGCTGTAAACCATGCCTCTCCTCCTGTCCCCACTCCCAGCGGCCTCCACACTCTCCCAGCTCTCGGACAGCGGGCAGACCCTGAGCGAGGACAGTGGCGTGGACGCTGGTGAGGCAGAAGCCAGCGCCCCGGGCCGAGGCAGACAGGTGGTGTCTGCCAAGAGTAGGAGTAGCAAGGAGACGCCTCGGAACGAGAGGACCACCGAGGGGGCCGCCAAACCGGTGAGCGAGGAGCCGGGGGTGCAGAGGGGGAGGGGGAGGCCGGCCCCAGGTGAAGAACAGGACGTCCTGAGCAGGGTTCAACTTGACTAGTAACCACAGGGGAGGTAGTGAGCCCCCTGTCACTGGAGGGGGGATGTGGGTGTCTGGAAAGACCACTGTATTCAGAGTCTGAAGGCCCTCCCTTGGCCACTGACACAGATAAGCCAAGTGCTCAAGGTGGGTCTCAAGGATCTTTAAGCTCAGTTCTGACATGATGTGGTGGCGAGGCAGTCAGGCTGCATTCAAGTCCTGGTGTCACCCCCAGGCAGCTTTGGGCCAGCCCCTTAACCTCCCTAGCCTCAGAATTAGAGAGCTGAGAACACCAAGTGCTGTGCTTAGTGCTAGCACACTGCAGGCTCCCGACACGGGGCTGGAGTCTGCACCCTGCTGACCCAGAGGCCTGTCATGGCTGGTCCAGCCCCCAGGACAGGCCTGTCCACCCAGGAGGCCTGTCACTGGTTTTCTTTCTCACACCTGCAGCCCGGACTCCTGGAGCCCACCTCCACCCTGGTCCGCGTGAAGAAAAGTGCAGCCACCCTGGGCATCGCCATTGAGGGCGGCGCCAACACCCGCCAGCCCCTGCCTAGGATCGTCACGATTCAGGTACGTCCCCAGGGACCTGCCTGACCGCGTCTCCCTACCCATGAAGGTCCCCCTCTCAGCATCCCCAGGGGTTTGCCATGCCCAGAGATGACCCAGCACCCAAGGGCAGACCCAGGCTCATACCGCCTTTGCTCTCGCTGAGCCACGGTTTTCCTAATCAGGGCAGAGGACACCAGATTGTGGCTGCCTGGTTGGCAGTGGCAGGCCTACCCTGGTGGGTGGTCAAGGCCAGGCTGGCCTAGCCCTCAGGCACCCCATGTGCTCATGCCCTGTGTCTCACTCCTGCAGCGAGGCGGCTCAGCCCACAACTGTGGGCAGCTCAAGGTGGGCCACGTGATCCTGGAAGTGAACGGGGTGACGCTTCGGGGCAAGGAGCATCGCGAGGCCGCGCGCATCATCGCAGAGGCCTTCAAGAGCAAGGAGCGTGACTACATCGACTTCCTGGTCACCGAGTTCAATGTGCTGCTCTAGGGGCCAAGGCTCGAGGGCCTCCCACCTCTGCCCAGCCCCTGGCCCTGGTCCTTCCTCCCTCCTGGCACTATTGAGCTCCTTCAGGGGCCGGGGCTGCATGACCAGGGTAGCAGGAAGACATCCCTCCACTCCTTCCTGGCCCACTGGACCAGAACCGGGAAAAAACAGCTGGGCAAGGCAAACAGAAGCTCAGGTCGGGGTCTGGTGCAATGCCCAGTACACAGTAAGCACTCAGTATAAGCATGAAACCTCAGGAAGGGGAGAGACTAAGGGGAAGGGCAGAGCGCCTATGTCTTCACCTGGGGCCTCCCAGGGCCTGGAACTCTGGGTTGCGTGGAGACCCTGCTGCTCCCCGGCCAGCTAGGACCTGGCCCATCCCCAGATGCCCGAGCTTTTGTCTGGAGTGAAGTGACGTGAGAATCCGTAGACACAGCCCCCAGCCAGGGCAGCATCTTGCAGGACCTTCAGTGCCACAAATAAGCATCGAGCACCCCCTATTCACACCCCCGTTCCTCCTAGCTCGTCATCCTCCATGGTATTTATTATTTATTTCCATCCCACACCCCTGGGTACCCCAGGACCCCAGCTTCCCACCACACCCCTAGCCTATCCCAGAGGCCTTGCAGGTGACCAGTGTCGTCAGTGTATTTATATACAGAGCTTATGACTTTAATTTTTCAATAAAGAGATCTGAACAAGATTAGGACCCAGCGTGCTATGTGGCCTGCCTGTGTGGCTGGCGTTTTGATTGCCTGACATGGAGAGGGGATGGAAGGACAGATGGAGGCACCCAGAATATCACATTTTCCCTGCCCACCCCCTTGGCTCAATCTGGGTCACATAGCAGGTACGCAGGGGCACTGGAGCCACAGCCACATCTTTGGAGCACCTTCCTTGAAGGTGATTTACAGATATTTTTAGCTCAAAATGCACAGGTATATATAGTTGTTAAACTGTAACGCTGTACCCCCCTGAAACTTACATAGTAATATTTTAAGCGCACATTTATGTTATGAGGCAGAATGCACGATGTGCATGAATGTTTTAAAACACAGAGAGGTGGCCTATCTTAGGGTGGGTCCCAGAAACTGACTCTGAGATGAGGATGTGTGTGCAGGTGATTCATTAAGGGAAGTGTGGCGGAGAGTTCAGTATAGCAATGGGGGAATCAGAAGGGAAGGTGAGGAAGCCAAACAGGATGTGATTACAGGCAAAGTCCTGGGAGGACAGTGGCAGCCTGATCCCACGGGGGACACTGGAGTGTAAGCTTGGCCTAAAGTTGTCCCCACTCAGGGCAAGGGGACAGGGCTTTCAAGTTGTCAGTCTTTGGACAAGGTCTGGGGGGAGAGGGGGGAGGCAGTGAATTCCCAATCACTTCCCACCCTCTTTCTGTGCAGACCAAGCTGGTCCAGGAGCCAAGGGCAGTGGGTGTTAGAAGCAAAGACCCATGGAGGGAGCGGGGAGGGGAGGGGGCCAGAAAGTGGTCTGCTACACAGCCCCGCTGCCAGCCCCAGTGCCCATTTCCTTCACCCCAGTCTTTCTCTGGCGCAAGGACACTTTGAGAAGTCCTGCTTCGTCCAGCCCTGTGTCCAGGGGTCTGCCAGAAGTGGGCTGGGGGCAGTTGATTCCCCAGACTTGTACCACATCTGGCTCTTAGCTGCTCCTGTCCCCTCCCCAGCTTAAGGAGACCACCTGAGGCCAGAGCCCTGGCTTCCGCTGGACCTCTAAAACAGCCAGTATCCCCCAAAGCCCCAGCCCCTCCCATGGGACTCTGTATGCTCCTCTCCAGCCCTGCAGGGAATAACCCTCATCTGGCTGCAAGAGGGCTTTGTCAGGCCCCAGATCTCCTGGCATCAGACTCCAGCTCCTGTGCGGTCACGGGCAGGTGATTTCACCTTTCTAAACCCTAATTCCCAATGTAGAAATTGGGTGTGGTTGGCTGAGTAATGGCTCCCAAAGATATCCAGATTCCTGTTGCGTGTGAGTGTTACCTCTATGGCAAAGGGAGAGGTGATTAAGGCATTTAGATGGGGAGGTTATCCTGGATTATCTGGGTGAGCCCGATGTAATCACAAGGGTCCTTATCAGAGGAAGGCAGAGGGAGATTTGGCACAGCAGAGGAAAAGGTGTTGTGATGATGGAAGCAGAGGTTGGAGGGATGCAGTTCAAAGATGGAGGAAGGGACCATGAGCCCAGGAATACAGGTGGCCATTTATAAAGAAGCTGAAAAAGGCGAGGAAATGGATTCTCCCTGAGCCTGCGGATGGAACCTGCCCCTGCCAACACCTCGACTTTAGCAAGGTGAAACTGATTTTGGGCTTCCACCTGTCTTTGTAAGAACAAATTAGTGTTGTTTTAAACCATGAACTGGTGGCAATCTGTTACAGTAGCCACAGGAAATAAATACAATGGGGATACTGCTACTTGCTTCTGGTGGAGGCTGGGATGCTGCGTGTGGGCTCAGACTCCAGGCTTGGAGTCAGCCCCAGGGAGACGATTGCAGTTGGGATGCTGGTGAACAAAGGACCCATCTGACTTTATAAACACCACATCTTCTCCAGGCCCAAGTCCTTGTGCATCTGTTCTGAATCAAGAGGTTTTCATCTATTACTGACTCGCTGTGTGAATTTCAGGCCAGTTACTGGCCTGCCCTATGAATTCGTGACTTCCGGTGTCTTATACCAGCCATCTCCCCACTCCATCCAACCCCAGGGGTCAGGGAGCTCCCGGCAGCTGCTGCCCACCGTTCCAAGTTTGTCCTCTGAAAAAAGGACAAGAATGAGTTTCTGGAACTGTTGGTTCTGAAATTCCTGGGTCTGACTCCGGGGCTGTAGGCCATTGGGTATGAGGGTTCCCCTCCCAGTAGAACTTTAAGCTTAAAAAAATTCCTTTGGAAGTGGGCTTAGAAAGGCCAAGTTACTTGCCCCAAGTTGCATACCTTATGAGTGATAGTGGACAAATTTGGACCCACAGCTACCTGAGGTTCACAACGTGAAGCCCCAAGATAAGCATGTGTCCTGTCCTGTTGCCTTTGAAGGGACCTAAAACAATGCCCTAAGGCAGCTTGGATACTGGGAGAGGGAGGGGCCAGAGGTCCACCTGGCCACAACATCTTTACTCATAATGCTGGAGCTGGGGGCAGGCGGAAGGTATGACTAGACAGTTTCAGGGTCTGTGGCTAGATGAAGGAGAAGACGGAAGAGGGCAAGTTTTTGGTTTGCAGTAGGGCCTGCCCAAGCAAGTGCTGAGTTGGCCTTCAAATCACTTGGCACCCCCTCTGCTTGGAAGAAAGCAGGGTGAGGGATGGAGTAGACCACTGTGAGGATCGCAAGGACAGAGAACAAGGCACACCTCAAAGAGTCCATACCTCAGAGTCTGACATTTGGACTCAAATTCTACATCCACTACTTCCTGGCTGTGTGATCTTGGGCAAGTCACTTAACTTCTCTGAGCCTCAGATTTCTCATCTTTTTTTTTTTATCACCGTATTTATTTATCTATTTTTATTTTTTTAAATTGGAGTATAGTTGATTTACAATGTTGTGTTAGTTTCAGGTGTACAACAAAGTGCTTCAGTTATGTAAACGTGTATATATATATATATATATATATATATATATATATATATACTCTTTTTCAGATTCTTTTTTATTACAAGACTGAATATAGTTCCCTGTGCTATACAGTAGGTCCTTGTTGTTTATTTTATAGATAGTGGTGTGTATCTGTTACTCCCAAACTCCTAATTTATCCCTCCCCCACTTTCCTCTTTGGTAACCATAAGTTTATTTTCAGTGTCTATGAAATGTCTATTTCTGTTTTGTAAATAAGTTCATTTGTATCATTTTTTGTAATTGGAGTAAAACTGCTTTAAGATGTGTTAGTTTCTGCTGTACAATGAAGTGAATCAGCTATATGTATACATATATCTCCTCCCTCTTGGACCTCTTTCCCCCACTTCCCGCCAATCTAGGTCATCACAGAGCACCAAGCTGAGCTCCCTGTGCTATACAGCAAGTTCCCACTAGCTATCTATTTTACACACGGTAGTGTATTTATGTCAAACCTAATCTCCCAATTCGTCCCACCCTCCCCTTCCCCGCCACGTGTCCACATGTCTGTTCTCTACATCTATGTCTCTATTCCTGCCCTACAAATAGGTTCATCTGTACCATTTTTCTAGATTCCACATATATGTGTTAATATACGATATTTATTTTTCTCTTTCTGGTTTACTTCACTCTGTATGACAGACTCTAGGTCCATCCACATCTCTACAAATGACCCAATTTTCGTTTCCTTTTGCAAATGAAGCCACGGACAAAGGATTAATCTCCAACATATACAAACAGCTCATGGAGGTCAATATCAAAAAAACAAACAACCCATTAAAAAAAATGGGGGGGGGCTTCCCTGGTGGCACAGTGGTTGAGAGTCCGCCTGCCGATGCAGGGGACACGGGTTCGTGCCCCGGTCCGGGAAGATCCCACACGCCGCGGAGCGGCTGGGCCCGTGAGCCATGGCTGCTGAGCCTGCGCGTCCGGAGCCTGTGCTCCGCAACCGGAGAGGCCACAGCAGTGAGAGGCCCGCGTACTGCAAAAAAAAAAAAAAAAAATGGGGGGAAGACCTAAATAGACATTTCACCAAAGAGGACATACAGATGGCCAAGAGGCACATGAAAAGATGCCCAGCATCACTAATTATTAGAGAAATGCAAAACAAAACTACAGTGAGGTATCACCTCACACTGGTCAGAATGCCGTCATCAAAAATCTACAGACAGGGCTTCCCTGGTGGCACAGTGGTTAAGAACCTGCCTACCAATGCAAGGGACATGGGTTCAAGCTCTGGCCAGGGAAGATCCCACATGCTGCAGAGCTACTGAGCCCACGTGCCACAACTACTGAAGCCCACGCACACAGAGCCCGTGCTCTGCAACAAGCAGAGAAGCCACGACAATGAGAAGCCTGTGCACGGCAAGGAAGAGTAGCCCCCACTCA